ACCATAGAACATAGTTTCTACAAATCTGCAACCTAACCTTACATTAGCTGTCATGGCCTCTCAAACATCCTCAGACAGCACATCTAACCCATTGTTCCCACCACTACATCATTCATTCAACCACAACATCAGCTAATATCCATCAAACTCACAAACACAAACTACCTACTTTGGAAACAGCAAACCTACAGTGCCGTAATAGGATATGGCCTTGAAAACTTCATTGCTGCTGATTCACACCCACCAGAGAGGTTCATATCCACTGATGGCACAACACCACCCACCCTTAACCCAGCATATGCAGCATGGCTAAGGCAAGATCAGTTACTTCTATCCTGGCTTCTATCATCCTTGAGTGAAAATTTGCTCATTATGATGGTTGGCAAAAAAACATCAAAGGATGTGTGGCTCTCCTTAGAGGCAAACTTCTCTGGTCTCTCTAAGGCACGGCTTATGCACCACAAAGCTTCAAACCCTCAAAAAGGGTCCCAGCTCAATGAGGGATTTCCTAGGCAATTGTGAAGGCATGTTGTGATGCCCTTGGCATAACAGGTGAACCTGTTTCTGATCAAAATCATATTCTCTATATCCTTGTTGGCCTAGGAAGTGAATACAACCCAGCTGTGGTAGCTGTTACTTCTAGAGTGGAACCTTACTCCCTCAATGAGGTGTATGCTATGCTTCTCAGCCTTGAGTCAAGGCTAGATATTGGAGCCCAGAGCATAGTCAACCCAGATGGCTCATTGCCAAGTGTTAACCTCTCATCAACCAATCCCACTGCTCAGAAGACTTCACCAAATTTCCCTACCTACAACACCCAAAGGGGCTCATTTTCTCAGAGAGGTAGAGGTCGTTCTAACAATTACAGAGGCCGTGGGGGTTGAGGCTACAGGAATAACAACAACAACAACATACCTACTTTCCAACTTTGTGGTCTCAACAACCACACAGCTGAGAGGTGCTTTCATAGATATGACTCAATCTACCCTGCACCAACAACTATGCAGGCTCAAACTGCTCAGACTCACACTCTCCCTCAACCACTGAACTCAGTGCCATCACACCTCAATGCACTGGTCACCTCTCCTGACTCAAGCCAAGAATCTCTGTGGTTTGCTGACTCAGGTGCCTCCAACCATGTTACTAATGAGCTCTCTAACTTGAACCTTGCTTCAGAATATCAAGGACACAACAAGCTCCATGTGGGTAATGGCTCAGGTTTGTCCATCTCACACATTGGCAATTCTAAGATCATTACACCCTCACACCCCACTAGACAGTTTCTTCTCAAAAACATACTCTATGTCCCTCATATCACCAAAAACTTACTAAATGTCTCTCAATTTGCACATGATAACTCAGTTTACTTTGAATTCTTTCCTACCATTTGCTTTGTAAAGGATCAGTACACTCACCAAGTACTTCTTCAAGGTTCACTTAAAGGAGGACTTTACAGCTTTGATATCAACTGTTCCACCACTACTCCAACTCAGCCCAAGAAGCTATCCAAAACTCCTTTACTTTATGCAAATGTTGCTACTTTGAATAAGAAAAATGACTTAGCTTTATGGCACTCTAGACTTGGACATGCTGCTCTTGATGTTGTTTCTAAAGTTATGAGGACATGTAATCTTTGAGTTTCCATGAATGATAAATTTATTTGTTGTTCTTGTCAACAAGCTAAAAGTCATTCCTTACCTTATTCTAATTATGATACTATATATTCTTGTCCTCTTAAGCTTGTTCATACTGATGTCTAGGGACCCTCACCCATCAAGTTAGTTAATGGTTCTCAATACTATGTGTGTTTTGTTGATCACTACACCAAGTTCACTTGGATTTACTTCCTTAAACTTAAATCAGAGGTCAAAGAGGCCTTCTTGCACTTCAAAAACCTTGCTGAAACCAATTGAATCATCATATCAAAGCCATACAAAGTGACTGGGGTGGAAAGTTTAGAGCTCTTACCTCTATATTCACTCAGGCATTAACCACAAACTTTCATGTCCATATACCCCAGCCCAAAATGGTGTTGCAGAAAGGAGGCATAGAAATATTGTAGAAATGGGCTTGGCTCTCTTGTATCACTCTCATGTTCCTCTCACCTTCTGGGATGATGCCTTTAGTGCAGCCATATACATTCTCAACAGACTTCCAGTGAAATCTCTTCACTTTTCCTCACCTCTTGAAAACCTTTATGGTCACAAACCTAACTACATTACATTCAAAGTGTTTGGCTGCCTCTGTTACCCTAACCTAAGGCCCTACAACAAACACAAACTCCAACCCAGATCCTTACCCTCCACCTTCATTGGCTTTAGCTCTAAACACAAAGGCTACAAAGTTCTATTACCTTCAAGCAAGGTGATTGTTACCAGAGATGTAATATTTGATGAGACACAATTTCTTTTTTCCAAGACCAACACACATCATCCCAACAATGCCTCTCTTGAATCCTTTTTGCATCAACCACTACCAATTGCTCATATACCTCCTGAACCACCAAACATAAACCCCAATCCCTCAGCCACTCAACCATCTCCTCATACCTCCCCTCACACCACTCAACCATCTCCTCATACCTCAGCCACTACTCCTAACAATCCTTCCACATCTCAATCCTCCACTAATAACACTCAACAATCTCACTCCACAATACCACTTTATGCTGAATTGCCAATTCTGGGGGACAACTTGTATCAGTCCACTGCAACTGATAATGCACAACAACCTTTACATCACATGATCACCAGGTCTAAAACAGGTTCACTCAAGCCAAGACTATTTACTGCTCAACTGGATGTCACTGAACCTGCAACAAACAAAGAGGCTCTCACCCACAAAGCATGGAAGGCAGCTATGATATCAGAATACCAGGCTCTCTTTCACAACAATACCTGGTTTCTTGTGGATCCTCCTCCTACAAGGTCAGTGATAGGTTGCAAATGGCTTTTCAAAGTTAAGAGACATGCTGATGGTACTATTGCCAGGCACAAGGCAAGACTAGTTGCAAAGAGGTATAACCAAGCTGCAGGTATTGACTTCTATGAGACTTTCCGCCTAGTGGTTAAGCCCACAACAATTAGAATTATCCTTCCACAGGCCCTGACTTATGGTTGGTGTATCAAACACCTGGACTTCAACAATGCTTTCCTACATGGGGACATTCATGAGGAACTTTACATGACACAACCTCCTGGCTTTGAAGACAGTCAGAATCCACATCTTGTATGTAAGCTACACAAATCCATTTATGGACTTAGACAAGCACCAAGGGCATGGTTTACTAAACTCAAACAATCTCTTCTTTCTCTTGGTTTTCAGAACTCTAAGGCAGACTGCTCTCTCTACATCAAAAGGACACCTAGCTCTTGCACATGGCTTCTTGTCTATGTAGATGATATCCTCATAACAGGATCTAATGTGGCTGCTATCTCCACCATCATTGGCACACTAAGAAAAGAGTTCTCCTTATAGAATCTTGGTCAAGTTTATCACTTCCTTGGAATTGAGATCAACCACACCACCTCTGGCCTATATCTTACTCAATCCAAGTATGTCAAGGACATCCTTCACAAAACAAACATGTCAGATGCCAAACCATTACCTATACCAATGATTTCATTTGCATCCCTCACCAAAAATCAAGGCAGCCCTATGTCAGATCCAACACTCTATAGGAGTGTGGTTGGTTCTCTTCAATATGCTTGTATAACAAGACCAGAT